AAAAAAAATTAAGGCAAAGTAGAAAATGAAGCATTATTATAGATAATGATTAACATTAGAATAATATTTATGATTTTTGTGACTCTTCGAATATTGAATATCAAACTAAAAAAACAGAAAAATACGTAAGAATGATTTTTATTACATACTTTAAAAATCTGAGAAAAATAACAAATAAAAAAAACAAATGTATGTAACTTTTAGTTTAATTCCCTCTCAGCTATCTTTGTAAATTAACTGCAATTCTAAGCACACAGGCAAATTTTATTAAGTCATTCATTTTGTAACATTATCATTTGCTTAAAATGGTAGTTAGTTGTCATCACAAAGATTTTGTTTTCTAGTTTCTAGGAAGTTGTGAATGAAAAAGTCTGCCTCACAACCTCTTTCAGTTTTAACAAATAGCTCTCATTACTATTCAGAGTAAGTTTCAGCATGACAGAGTGAAAATAGTCAGATATGGAAGTATGGCAAGTATCCAGTTCATTATTGCTTTGTTTTATTTCTTTTTAAAAAAGTTAGCATTGTCAAACTTCTTTGTTATTATTATTCAGATATTGTTCAAAAATTTTCTCAAACATAGTTTCTTCATTTACTCATTTACCTCAATATCAGAGAAAGAGTACAAAAGTTAACAATAGTTCCTATTCTTATTTTGACAATTCTGCATAAGATTTTAAGTTACTGCATTTTTAGTTTTATTTCAATAAAACACTTTATTTTCTTTTTATTGACAAAGATAAATTTTTACTAAAGATTAGATACATTTAAAAAATGTTTCCAATAAAAAATATGAAAGTCACCTAATTCAAGTACTCTTAGGTTAATAGTATTCTTTTCAAAGGTTTTCAAATGTTGTAATACTTGTTTCTTTCCTTTATTTCACCCTTTAACAGTTAGACCTTATAATTATACACCAGCAGGTGGAGCTTCTTGGAAGTAAGTATATTGTATAAGTATATTATACTCTCACTTATTACAACTATTTAAAGTATTTTAGCTTTTAAAATTTTCTTCATATCCAGTTAATAAAAATACATTGAATATGTTTAGAGTACTTTTAGATCATAAAGTACTCTGAGTGTTATGGGGTGGGTGTGGTGTGTTGACATAAATCTAAGGAATTTACTCTCCTAAATGTGAACATATTTTCCTAAATAATATAGCATTTGGAGCAACTTTACCTGTATAAAAAGGAGCAGAGCATGTTTTATTTTTCTAATATGGAATTTGAAAGTAAAATTACTAGTCTAATTCAGGTAATTATAATAATATAAAACTCTCTAAATCTTTGATGATTGTCAGTAGTAATCTAACATATTCTCCTAAATGTGAACCTATTTTCCTAAATCGTATACTGTTTGAAAGCAACGTTACCTCTATAAGAAAGAGAAGCACTTGACCTATTTTTTTCTAATATAAAAGTTGCAGTAAATGATTAGCCTGATTCAGGTAATTCCACTAGCATAAAACTCTAAGTCGTTAGTAATATTTTCATTAGCAATCTAACAAAGTTTAACCTTAAGTGATAAAAAATATATGAGGACCCTCTCTGATGGCACAACTGGTCACAGCCACTTCACTGCCAGTTCGATCCCGGGCCTGGGAGGTGATCCACCTGGTGCGACAGACCCTCCTGACCCGCCCACTGCTCCCCTCAGCAGTGTACATCCTCGATCTGCTTGTTCTGCTCCCCACTCTGTTTCTGGTGAATCCTCTCACCGCTCCTGCTCCTCTCGCTTGTACCCCATTTCTGTATGCACAATTGATTATTTTTAAAAGAATACTACTCATATTAAATATATATATGCTTATTAATTTCCATGATTACAACAATTTGAATTTTCCTCATAATTACAGCGCTGTCAACTAAGCTTGAAATTATATAACAAAAATGCATCAGAATATAATGTTACTGTTTTATCATTCCATTGATTCATCAAATACACAAGTTATTTAACAATACACACATTTAAAAGTATGACTAGTTGAATTCAAATTAGTCGACTATATGTTAATTATAAAATATTTCAAAATTGAGATGATAGAATAGCAGGGATAAATCTGCTTTTGTAGATTTTTGTAAATCACATAGAGATTTTAGACAAAATCATTATTGTTACTGTGTCCCAGTGAATCCCATGACAATGGAAGAATCATTTTAAGTGTCAAATTTTCTTTACAGCATTGCTTTCTTAACTGAGAATAAAGGAGCAAGTCATATACTTAGAACCAACTATATTAATGCACATCTTTGTACTCAAAGACTCCTTTGTTTTAGAATTGTCTAAATTGCCAGCTTAGAAATTTGCCTAAGTTTTCAAGTTTTAGAACACAGAAGTAGATGTGTAGAAGTTATCATCTTTTAATAACTGATTGTTCTGTTTTAATAGCACTTCTTTTACTCATTTAAGGGTTTTGATGATAAGCAATGGCATTCTTTTTTTTTTTTTTCTTCTTTAGTGATACTCGGCACTGAAACCTCTAATAAATATGAAATTAAAAACAGCTTAGGACAAAGAATTTACTTTGCTGTGGAGGAAAGCATATGTTTCAATCGTACTTTCTGTTCCACCCTGCGATCTTGCACTCTGAAAATCACCGACAACTCAGGACGAGAGGTGATTACAGTGAACAGACCCTTGAGATGTAACAGCTGCTGGTGTCCTTGCTACCTACAAGAGGTTAGTCATTGGTTTTGAGTGACCTTTTATCCCCCACCTTTGCAAAGATAGGCAATTATCTTTTTAATGAATGCCACTTATTCTGAGATCTCTATGAGTGAGATCTGGGTTTTACTGCCCACATTTTATGTTTATGGAGCAGGTGCTTAGAAAGTAGAGGTGACTTACACATATATGACTTAACATAAAATGGACTTGCTCAAGATGTCTTTGGAAACAACTTTCTCTATTGAGACATCTGTGTAAGTATTCTACTTAAAGATAATGGGAAATATTAATATGGAAGGGGATTGATCGATAATTAATACAGAAAAAGGTTAATTAGATAAGTTTCTAGATATACATATATATGATAATTCTCAATTACTTGTAGACAATTAGACAGTTATCTGGTTAGTTGATAGCTAAGGTAATCATACAGAAATCTAAGACTTTCTGTCCTCTTATTGAGACTATTTAAATTCAAACATCCCCCATGATAATACAATCATTAAATCAAAAAAAAATGTAACATCTGAAGCTTCTGAAAATTGATACTTTATGTCATAGTAGCTTGATATCATACAAAAAAAACTGCCTCTAAATATGTTAATATTTTTTAATTTGCTCACAATCAGAGCAATTACATTAAAAGTGATCTCAGATCAAATTTATAAAATTATAAGCTGCCTTGTCTACACAAGAACACTACACATATGCTCATATGACTATGAACTTAAACATTAAGAAAACTAAGAACAAATTAAGAACCACTGCTTTTATTTCAATAACTTCTTTTTTTTTTTTTTTTACAACTTTATACCCAGCACCATGTTACCTTACAAGGACTCTGATTAGGCTGCATGAAAACGTTGATATACAAATAAAGGAGCTAGGGATAGGAAGGAAAATAAAATAAATATTGAAGTAAAGATTAAAAATGTATTTTCTAGATTTTGGCTCTTTGAAAAAAATGATACAAAAATGAAATTGATGTGTGAATACTGTAACTCTGCAAGAAGCATTTATTTTTAACGAACACAGATAAATTAGAATTCACAATCTAGATGAAATTACAATTTTATATATGAGGGATCACATATAAAATACCTTCAATGCTTGAAAAATTGTACTTGGAACAAAAATAGTGAAGAAGTCAATGTCTGGGGTTGGTTTCCTTTATGAAAGCTCAGAAACATGAATTTTTAGTGCATAGTGGCAATTATCTTCAGAGTGAAATTGTTTCTGTAAAATAATTTTTAAAACACTACTTTTGCTTCTTTTAAGCAAGTATTTAGAATGATTTACAGAATATAAAAATAATTTCAAAACTGTCTACGCTAAGAGAAAGTTGCCACGTTAGTAAAATCTTATTTCTTCTTGCAGTTAGAAATCCAAGCTCCTCCTGGCACTACAGTTGGTTATGTTGCACAGAAATGGGACCCATTTCTGCCTAAATTTACAATCCAAAATGCAAACAAAGAAGATATTTTGAAAATTGTTGGTCCTTGTGCAACATGTGGCTGTTTTGGCGATGTGGATTTTGAGGTATTGACAAAATGAATAAAGTTTTCACTTAGGTCATGATTTTTTGGACTGTAACTTACTAAATTTAAATGTTCCAGATCAGTAAATACCCCTGAAATAACTCATAAAATAATATATATATATACATGTATATGTATATATATATAACTCATAAGCAAAGTAATGTAAAGAGTACATATTGTTCATTGCTATTTTAATTCATAATTTCAAGAATTCTTTTTAAAATATCACAAAAAAATCTGAATTATGTGAAATTATAGCACCCATGGCATAAAACAAGTGTTAAAGTTTAAAATGAACTAAGTTGCATTTATCCCTATAGTCCTGGTGATAATGCATTCTAATTTAGATTTTTATCTTAGAAGCATACTCCACTGAAATATCACTGATTAAAATCTATGTGCATAAAACTTTGTTACTTTCTTTTATAAACCATCTATTCTCAAACATATTACTGTAAGTTGGATGTTAAACACTGGGTAGTTGTAAATTCAGTCTGTAGTAATATGAACTTTATGTATGACCTACAAACCCATATCATGCAGATGAAATGGTCTAATTTAAAGTTTATATTTATTTTCATTTATTCATGCATATTTATGCATGCATTCACATATATCCCTCTAGAACATCCAGTTTCCAAGACTTCAGAGAACACTATTCACATCAGTACAATGTAAGTTTTGCAAAGTTAGCAGTCCTAAGTCCATCCCACTTCAAAAGGAATAGGTACAGCTTTCCTAGAAGTAAAATATAAAAATATGGCCTATATTCAAAGAGAACCGAGACACAAGGGTCTTACAATTCATATTGATGGATGTCCCTGGTGGCTTTCATATTTTTTTAACTTCTGCTGCCATACAGAAACTGAAAGTTTATATGGAATTACTTTCAGCCTTTCAATGTGAATCAGGGCAAACTAGATTCCTAGCTAGGACTAGAAATATTTTAATGTCAATTTAGTCTGAATTTTTTTGTGAAATACATTAGAGTTTTTTTAATGCAAAAATAGGACATGCCATTAGTTATAAGAGCAAATAACATACTACCATACAAAGAGAGATTAAGCAATGCCTACTAATACTTACATGTTAGTATCATGAATTTAAAGCAAGTTTACAAATGAGACTTAGCAATTAATTTCAAAATGCTTCTAATCTTCTACACTATTTACTTCTTTTTAGTGGCTAAAATCAAATTTGAAATCTTAGCCTCAGTTATATTTATTCGCAGTTAAATTAAGGTTTTGAAAAGAAAAGGAGTATCGTTCATGCTTGACTCTATAGTTGAGGCCGGATACCTGCTGCCATCTTGTGGTGGCCTGGCTTCATTCGTTGCTATTATTTTCTCACTGCCTAACACACAAAAGATATTATAGATTAGAAAAATGTTATAAAAGTCAGATTCCCTTCAAATCTGCACACACCTATGATTCTATAAAGGAATTGGCAATGGTTATTTAGAAGATGACGAATAAAATTGTTCAAGTTACTCATGAAATACACAGAATGAGTTGTAAAGTCTTGTTTTGCCTTCAAATTTAACACCTCTCATTTTCTTTTCAAAGGTGATGACCATTAATGAAAAGCTTACAATTGGTAAGATTTCAAAGTATTGGTCGGGATTTGTAAATGACGTCTTCACAAATGCTGACAACTTTGGGATTCACGTTCCCGCAGATCTAGATGTGACAGTCAAAGCAGCGATGATTGGTGCTTGTTTTCTCTTGGTAAATATGGTCTTGGAAGAGTTGTGGTACGATCAATCCCATTTTACACAACATTTACCTCAACTAGTAAACTTTATACATAGAAGCCTCCTTTGGGACAAGTATTTAGAAATTAGAATGTTGGAGACTCCATTTCTGCTAGTCACCCTTGCCAGGTGACTGACACCGTCTCTCTGCCCACTCAGCAAACTCTGACTTGCCCTTGTTTTTCAATTTCAATTTAGAATTTTGTTTTATTTTTACCTCCGCTGAAATATAAATGAACATAAATAAACATTATTTATCTTAGGAAAAGTTTCATTGTTTTAATATTAACTACCGGATATTCTCTTAGAATGTTAAAAAAAAAAAGTACATAGACAAATGAAATGACAGGGGTGGATGTATACATGCTAGTTTCCATTATTTCGAATATAGTATGCCTTTCTCTTTTCTTTTCAACTCATAATTTCATTCAGAACTTTTTTTTTTAATTTGACATGGAAATTGGTATCAGGGTAACAAAGTCAAGTAATATGTCTACCCAGTATTATCCACTGCCCATTCCTATAGCCCTCTAAAATCCCCCTCATTGTCTGCTGTTTTCAATGCATGTACAAAAATTCATGGAATTTTATAAAAATGTGTGGCAAATATATCAACAAAAATAATTCCCTCGTAACATGGATGTTTAGAATTTCATACAGATATCTGCATGCCTGCATATATTGATATACATAAAACATATTTATATTATATTTAGAGTGTCATACAGATAGATGCAAACATATACAGGTATGTTTATGTATATGTATATAAACATATATAAGTATACATATATGGGCTATTTCTCCATAAATGTTAAAGGAATTCGTATTGATTATTATTTTTGGTAGAATGAAGAATTTATGTATGCTGAATACTAGAATTTCATACTTATTAAATAATCATGTTTCCTTAATTCCCATTTATATCTACAAATCTAAACAGTTCTTTCAAATTTGCAGATCATCTAATATTTCTTCAGTTTCATATTCTCTTCTCTACCCCTGAGAGAGGTTTTAATTTTCCAATGTCCACTTACCATTTCTTCTTTTTGATTATTTCTGCATGCCAATATCAATCACTCCAAATACATATGTATATACACAATGCATACATACACACTGCATACATATACACTGCATACACACACACACACAATTTCCAAAAACACTAGTTTGGCCTTTATTATTATAATGTATCATTCTTGATGTTTATATAAAATCATATCATCTTAAATATGCTCTACTCATCAACTTTATGGAACAGTCTGATGGCATTCTTATCTTTTATGGTTGCTAAATATAATTTCATTGTGTATTTATGTCACATTTTCTTGATGCAGTCATCTGTGTGGGGCAATTTATGTTGATTCCATACCTTAGCTACTGTGAATAATGCTGCAGTAAACATAGGAGTTCAGATTCCTTTGATTTAATGTTTTTTGACCTTTGGGTAAATTCTTAGGAGTGGAGTTGCTGGTTAATATGGTAGCTCAGTTACTAGTAGTTTGATGATCCTCAGCACATTTTATGGTGCAAAAATGTAGTTTAGCAATTCCCTATGTACTATAAATTGGAAAAACACTGATCTAGAGAATACCTTAATTATCAGAAAAATTTGTTTTTAATTCCAGTGTCTGATGATAAACATAAACAATGAAATTACTTAACAACACAATATATTATTATTATTTTTTTCTTTTTACCACAATTTATAAAGCTCTTGAATTATGTTTTTGGCCTACAAGACTTCACAGTTTCCTGCCCATATTACCAAGATAAGTTATTGACTTCTATGTATAATTCAGTAGGAAACATTATTGCTATTTTATTTTTTTAATTCTGTCTACACTTTATTACCCTATAGTGAGAGATTTTTAGGAAGGTACCATTGTGAGTTTATTCCCTGGCCCAGAGCATAATTCACAAATACTTCCGGATTTTGAATCTACTCTGATTCATGGTTAACACCCCACAAACCACAGCTCCACTATACCAAGTTCGTTCTGTTGTAGTTTCCAATAATTCTGCCTAAGATTTATTCATTTATTTATAAATAAGTGGGGTTAAGGCCAGAGGTACAGGGGTGGCTATCAAGAGCGTTCACTAGAAACAGAGTGGGGAGCAGAACAGGTAGAGTGACAAAGTACACTGCTGAGGAGAGCAGCAGATGAGACAAGCAGGTCTGCTGTGTTATGTGAGTCACCTCCGAGGTGGGGATGGAAATTGCACTGAATTGGCCACAGCTTGACATTGCAGTGCAGTGTTCCAAACTTCTCTGCCACCAGGGAGGTCCTCATATATCTTATTCTTAAAAAAACTAATAATAATAAATAAACCTGAAAACAATAAAGTCCACTGTAACTTCCTGTTGAAAGATTTATATAACTGAAAAAAATAATTCTAGAAAGTCTTTATTCACAAGGTTTTGACTGATAAAACTATACTGATTGAGGTAAGGTTTAATTTTAACATTTAAAAAGTAAGTTTCATGAAGCATAATACTTTTCAATTTCGCTTCTCCTAATAAATGACATATTGATAAAACATCACTGGGAAACATAACTGGTACATATAATTTAAGATTACACATGAGACTATTGATCTTTATGTTACCTGTCTTCTTATTTATTCAAATTATTTATTTATAGGATTTTATGTTCTTTGAACATTCACTGGCTGGATTATAACAAGTGGGATAACAAAACCAAAATATGCAGAACTTATTTCAGTAAGTAAAAGGAGTTTTAGATGATTTCCTTCCCTTGGAATATGTCTATATTTGACACTGTCTAATTCTTTTTCACTTTCTACTAGAGATCTTTTGAGCTCAGGATTTAGTTTCTGAAGGGTTTGATTATTTGCTTTTTTGTATAAAAGTGTTAAATATTTTACTTATTAAAACATAGTGTAATGAAGCTTTGATCTGTTTGTGAATGTATAATTGTTAACATAAGATTACTGGTCTGAACACAGACATGCTTGAAAATATTATCATTCTTTCTGTTTTTTTTTTTTTTTTTTGTCTTTTGAAGTTATTGTATGGGTAAGCATGAAAGATCAGAATGAAGGCTTACTGCATCACTGATGAAAATTCAATGTTTAGAAAGCACTTTGAAGTTTCTTTGGTACTAAGGCTGATTACTAATCAAAAGGAATGTATTTTTAAAATGAAGGAGAAATTTTATATTCCATATGAACTAATGTTGACAAATCAAACTGTGTTTTGCACATTTTAGCTTATGATCAGAAACTTTATTTATTTGCAGTTAAATTTCGGTCAAAGAATGGGGTCTAAGTTTCTAAAGAACAGATTATTCCAGTACCTAAAAAAAGAGCAAACAATAACAAATATAAAACCTCAATACATGAAGCAAATGAAGAAGTCAAGGAGCACAGTTAATTAACTTAATTAATGCCTTCCAATTTAATATTTGGGTCTTTTAGATTCCTACATCTAATTATCTAAATTATGTGCTTTTAAAGCTCACATGAAAGGATTTTTTTTTTAATGAATGACCTGTATTCTTCTCCTCTTTTCAAAATGAGGAAACAGATTTGTTAAACAAAGAATCGTGTAACCATTAGACTTAATTTTAGAATTATACAATTCTCCCCCAAATTTCCATCTACACATAGAGATGTTTTAAGATGCTCTAAGCAATCTTCCATTTAGGATTAGGGTAAAGGCAATGTATTCCCAACATCAGTTTTTAAGTTTATTCACAATTAGTGAACTATTATCTAGAAATAATTTTATGTGTAATAGATGTTTTCCCCAATAGTCCATAGATACCAGTTTAGATCTGGGTCTAGTGGTAAGAACTTTAGATAGTAGAACATAGAAATGAAGGTAAGTTTCTCCTCTATTTTTCAGTCCATTTCCTTTATTATTTTTGATCCTAACTCTACAACTTCTCTGGGAGGTTCTCCCCTTGCAGAAACTACAAATTGCTTTAGTCTACCATAAGTAAATAAGTAAATGAATGAATGAATGAATAATGGTGTGTTAGGTTGATTTAAGCATTAACCGCCAAAACATAATCATTCTTCAAAATCACATATAATTGTTCTCTTAACCTATACATTTATTTGTGTCACTGGATCACCAGCATATCCGGAGCAAGTAGTCAAAAGTTCATAGAACTTTTGATATATGTGCCCTCCATAGGTGTGCCAACTGTGGATACGGTCAGCAGTCTCTCTGAACTCCTCAGATACCCCATGTGTTAGCTTACACAGTTATAAGATGATTAAGGGAGGCTCAGTGTTTTCTGCCTCCCCCCTTAATCTTTTTTAACTAAAATATTGTGGTTTATGATCATTATCAGAAAAAGGAAATGACTTTAAGAGCTGATGTTTATTAACCAGTAAAATGGAGAAAAATAGCTAACATTTACTTAGGGTTTATTCCATGCCAGACACGCTTCACATGGATTTCTGATGGAGTAACAAAATGAAATGAAAATTAAGGAAAATCGGGAAGATCACCTGGTAATTTGACCTTATCCTACCCCAGGAATTATTGCTCACATTCCAAATTTTCTTCCTTAAAATAATCTTTCTTCCTTATATATTTTTTTCTTTTGCATTTGACTTCTAAAACTAAAGTTAAAGCTACTAATGTCACAATAGCAACAACTGAAGTTGTTACAGTGGACAAGAATGACAGAAAAATGAACTTATAGATATTGTAATTTAATTGACAAAATGTTTTATATTTTTTAAAAATACTTGAATGATCCCTAAATTTACAAAATGAACTATTTAACACCTATATTTAATGAAGTTCACCAAAGCTAAAAAATCCCTTCTAGAATATTAAAAAAAAAAAAAAATAGACCCACTAGAGTTCTCTGTTCCTGAATTGGCACAATACAACCAATTAGGACCCAACGTGGACCCCCATCCCCCTTCCTCAGTAGAGTTCAAATTGGTTTTAAATCTCTTCCATGCTCAAGGTGTTGACATTGTTGTTGTTGTTGTTATTATTATTATTATTATCATTATTATGGTATTTTATTGCAGGGTTAAACTTACTCCTTCATATTTGCACATTTTTCAGTCACTCACCACAAAACCAAACCTGCCAATATCTACTTCCCTTTCCCATTCCTTCCCTCCCACACAGACCCATGCCCCCTGATTCTCTCTGGTAGTTTATAAATTTGTTCACTAAGTCAAAAAATTTTAATGCACTTGCCAGTGTTTGGTTCTTTGTTATTTATGTTCCAAAGATGACTGGAACCATCTGATAGTGGTCTTTTACTTCCTGATTTATTTCACTGAACATAATCGCCTCGAGGTTCATCAATTTTCTCACAAAAGAGGCTTCTTCATCTTTTAAGTATATATTCTACATTTTTTTTTTTATCCGCTGGTCTGTCAGTGGGCAGTCAGGTTGACTCCATGAATTGACAAATTTGGACAGTGCTTGTCTGGGTATTGGAGTATATGTCTATCTTCAAATTAGAGTTTTCATATTTGGAGGGATACATACCTATCAGAAGTGTTGCTAAATTTCCTCTTTTTTTTTTCTTAAGAAATCTCTGTACTCTGTACAACTCCTATTCCCACCAACAGCAGATGAGGGCTCTTTTTTTCTCCATATACTCACCAGCATTTAGTTTCCATTCTTTTTTTTGTTGTTGGTCATTCTAACAGAGAAGTGATAGATTTACAGTATTGATTTATATTCCCTTTGTAATAAGTCATGATGAATAGTTTTTCATCTGTCTGCAGGCCATCTAAGTGTCTTTTTTTAGAAAACTGATTATTTAGAATTTTTTTGTTGTTGTTCAGGCTGTCTTTTTTTTTTATAATTTTTGGATTGTGTAACCACTTTCTTTATTTTCCAATGACAAGGGAAAGAAAATAAAAAGTTAACAAGAGGAACTACAGCAATCAATAAAAATTTTGTACTTCAAAAGACACTCTCATAAAAACAAGAAGGTAAACTACAGAATGGGAGAAAATATTTACACATTACCATACTCTCACTTCCCCTTCTCCATCAATCATGAATCCATAGAGACAACTAAGTTTGTCACTTTCCAATGAAATTAAAAAAAAAAAAAAAGCAAGGCCCTCCCTGGTGGTGCAGCAGGTTAAAGTACAGCACTGAGAAGCTAAAGCCACTTCAGCATGAGTTTGGTTCCCACCCTGGAGATGACACATATGTTGCAGCAGATCTCTCCTGACCCACCTGCTGCTCCCTTCAGTAGTGTATTTCAGTCAATCTGCCTGTTCTGCTCCCCACTCTGTCTCTGGTGAATCCTTTCACCGCCCCTGCACCTCTGCCTGTATCCCATTTCTGTACGCATATATAAATAAATCTTTTTTAAAAAAAATACAGTTCCAGGAGGAACTTTGTGTGTCACTGCATCCTTGTACTGTTCTTCCTCTGTCTACTATGTCCTCAGAACACAGCACCAACTCTGCTTACCTGTATCTATAAGGAAGGACTTGACCACATTCAGTCATTCATCAGTTCATTAATTTGGCAGATGTTTTTATCCCTCTTATATTCCAAAGTTAAAGTGACTCCCCCTAAAAGGAAATTGTATTTTAAAGAGATAGCTTTAACCCAATAGGAATACAAATAAAGATTAGATTCCAAGCATGAAAAGTGTTTCTAGAAGTTGGACAAGGTGCTAATTAATAACAATGGATTTAAAGTATGAACCATGGGTAAGAGCAGAAGAATAATTTAAACTAAGGAGGAAATATTTGCAAAAGTTCTGTGATGGGATAAGATGATAACATCAAAATCTTGATTTGACTGAAGAAGTCTACTAAGAGCACTGTTACAGTGAAGTTGAATACGGTGCATGAGGTAGGTATCTGGAGTTGGTGCCCATATTAAAGATTTTAGATTCTGTCATATTATCATATTATCATAGAACATCTATAAAAGTGTATAAGAAAATAACTGAGCAGTAAAAGATCAAAATACTGGACACAATCATTCTTAGGGATAGATATATGCTTGTATTAAAAGCATCTTTAAAATATATGAAAATATATCTTAAATCAATAATTCAAAGAATATCTTCTTCTGACTGCACTTTGTATTTGATGAAAGCATCACCTGAGGGCTTTGAAAATTGTTTAAAATCTAGTTTGAACTTAGAAACTGAATCTCATTGAAAAAAAAGAAAAAAAATAAAAACTTGATAATCCTCAACCCAAATGATCCTCAAAGAAACAAGCTAAACTCATTAGATAAATCACTTATTTTTACCACATAAAAAGTGGTTTTGATAAATAATGTGACTAGTCAACATATACTCCAAATATCATATATAGCAGTTTGCTATAATTTTGGTTCACTTTAGCCATAATTATTAGTTGATAGATACTTATTTAGCATAATTATTAATTGATAAACATTTATTTTTAGATGTACTAAAAGATTTAATTTAGGTTGAAATAGAAGTGATTTCAAAAGAAAATTTGGTATTTGGGCTTGAGATAAAATTAAACAAGATTAAATAATTTGTTTCAAGAATGTATGAAAGTTGACATTAATGAGCGTATTTTGGACATTGTACTTAACATCATATATAATGGCTAATGTCATACAACAAAATGGCTACTATAGGATCAAATGAACAAATGAGGAAAGCAATGGCCTGGAAGTTTAAGTAACTTGTCAAATATTAAATAATTTTGTACCTGACAAATGTTGTGATGTTTGTATCAACCTTCTACAGTAAAAATAAATGAATGAGAAATAGCAGAAGGAAAACTATGAAAATGCAAGGAATGAAGAATATAGAGACGTAGGGCAGAGGTATTCTCATCCCTTTACTAATGTGAACAGGTAATATCCTCAGCGATAATATGTGTCAGCTCCCTCTAGAAAAGTAAATCTTTCATCCAGAAACAGTATGACTTTGGTGCCATTTTTGTGAATAT